CTTTGTTTTCATTCTCTAAAGTATATTTTTAAGCTGGAGTGAATGAATTCACATCTAGTGAAACACCTGAGAGAATTTAGCAAATCTAGGATAGAGATGAGAATACATAGTTAAACAAGAAGCACTATAATAGATACTGAAAGTAAAGGACTTGAAAAATTTCTCCAGCAACACATAAAAGCTACATATTTAGAGACACAGAGAAATCGGTTTGGAAGAATGCACAGTTTGCTAATAGTACCAGGTACCTCTGGCAAGGAAAAAGTGGGGTGCAGAAATAGGGATTTTAAGGAGCATTTTCCCTTTCCAAAAGTGTTGGAATATTTGACAGTGAAAATGTATGTTATATCTACTTGTGCGATAAGTCAGGTGAAAAACCACCTAACCATCCATCGACAGAAGGATGAATTCAGACAGTGTGACACTATATACTATTTAAAATGAATAAATTATAGCTACATGTATTATCATTCCCTGGTACCTCAGCTGGTAAAGAATCCACCTGCAATGTGGGGAGACCTGGGTTTGATCCCTGGGTTGAGAAGATCCCCTGGAGAATGGAACAGCTACCCACTCCAGTATTCTGGCCTGGAGAATTCCATCAACGGTATAGTCGATGGGGTCACAAAAAATCGTACATGACTGAGCGACTTTCTCATGTATCATCATAGATAAATCTCAAAAACAATGATTAGAAAAAAAGAAAATGAGAGAGATATCTGCCTATTAAGATGCCATTTATATTGATTTTGAAAGCATAAACAATACTATATATTATTTATGAATAGATATGGTATTAATATAATTATGTACATGAAATAGTAAATTCAAGATGTGGATTTATCCGGGAAGGCATGAAATTAAAATTGGGAAAAGGTACAGTGGGTTTCAGCTGAATCTGTACTTTAAAATATCAGAATAAAATGTGGCAAAATGCTAGGATTTAACAGTGCTGGTGAACTGGTTGATGAGCATATGTATGTCTGTTTGGTTATCTGCTATACTTTGTATACGTGAAATAATTTTTAAAGTTTTTAATTTTTGTACACTCATGTTTATAGCAGCATTATTCACAATAGCCAAGTGGTAGAAGCAGCCCAATGTCCATCGATAGATAAACAACAAACAAAATGTAGTATATACATACAATGAAATACTATTCAGCCCATAAAGGAAAGAAGTTCTGACATACACTACAACATGGATAAACATTGAGGACATTATGCTAAATGAAATAAGACAGTCACTAGAAGACAAATACTGCATGACTTCGCTTACACGTGGAACCTAGTCAAATTCATAAAGACAAAGTAGAATGGTGGTTGTCATGCTCAGAGGGAAGAGCATATTTTTAATGAGCTAAGGAGTTTCAGTTTGGGAAGATGAAAACAGTTCTGGAGTTGGGAGGTGATGATAATTGCACAACAATATGAATGTACTTAATGATGCCACTGAACTGTAGACTTTGAAATGGTTAAAATGATGCACTCTGTTATGTATATTTTACTACAATCTTTAAAGTTCTTTTAATTTAAACAAATCACAACTCTATATATATATCCATCAAGAAGTGAAAAGTGAAAGTGTTAGTCGCTCAGTCATGTCCAACTCTTTGCAACCCCATGGACTATAGCCCCCAAGCTCCTCTGTCCATGGGATTCTCCAGGCAAGAATACTTGAGTGGGTTGCCATTCCCTTCTCCAGGGGTTCTTCCCAATCCAGGAATCGAACCCAGGTCTTCTGCATTGTAGAAGTTTTCTTTACCATCTGAGCTACCAGGAATGTTCATCAATGGAAGACCAAAAAAAAAGAAAGAAACTTTGGAAATTATACAAGGGAACACCACATAGTCAAAAAGAACGAGATCCACACGTGCTGGTCTAGAATGACTGCCAAGGCAAATGGGTCACTGGAAAAAGTGTATGGAATGCCACCATTCATACTACATAGCATATCTCTAGAAAAAATATCTAAGAAATTGGTAACTGCGATCACTTCTGGGGGAGGAAACAGGGGAGCATGAGTCTAGGGGTGACATTAGGACTTACCTATTCAAAAAACTCAACTGATTTTTCTTTTTTTAAAACCGGTTTTTCAATGATCAATTCTCTAAATTATCCATATGACCAAGAGGGATGAAATTAAATAACTGGAATTCACACCTAATACCCCAACTCTAAGTAGCTGAATTTTAGAGAGGTTAGGTAGCATGCCCAAGAGCATGCAGGTGACAGAACTGGCTAGTTATCTTAGCATGCACTTATTCTAAGGATGCGAAATATTTCATAAAAGACTTTAAAGTATGTCTCTGTACTGCTAGTTTATTGAGGCAGAAAACAATATGTTCTCCAAAACAAATTATGTTTGGGAAAGCCTTAGTACCATGTAGTTTAGTTTGTATATTGTCAGCATGATTTACACATCTGGTAACATTTGCCCTGTACCTAATTTTTAAAATTTTTCAACAATCTTCTTTAATGAGAGGTTTTTCTAGTCCTTTCCTTCCAGACTTTTGTTGACTATCATTTGAACAGTTTCCATGCTTGTTTTTCACAAACCCAAAAACGTGTGAATGATGGATTCTTTAAAGCAAAACAGACATTTTTAAGAACATCATAAATTCATACACATGGATGCATACAGGGGCTCCCCTGGTGGCTCAGACGGTAAAGAATGTGCCTGCGATGCAGGAGACCCAGCTTCAGGCCCTGGGTTGGGAAGATCCCCTGGAGGAGGCATGGCAACTCACTCCAGCATTCTTGCCTGGAGAATCCCATGGGCAGAGGAGCCTGGCAGGCTCCATGGGGTCACAGAGTCGGACACAACTAAGTGACTAACACTTTCACTTTTCACATACGCAAATGCATACAAAACATATATCCTGAATGCAGATCTGCCACCTTCCTCACTCTGCACACTTTGGCAGCAAAAGCTGTGAAAGAATACTCTCAGGATCTCCCAAAGACCTACCTGCCTTTGGTTTATTTACAGATAAAAACTCCTTCCCACTACTGCTGCTGCTGCTAAGTCGCTTCAGTCGTGTCCGACCTTGTGTGACCCCATAGACGACAGTCCACCAGGCTCCCCTGTCCCTGGGATTCTCCAGGCAAGAATACTGGAGTGGGTTGCCGTTTCCTTCTCCACCACTAGGTGGTTTTTAAGCCAGAGATCCTTCTTCAAAGGTAGTGTACCAACCACATTCAAACGGCTAACTATAAGATTTAGAGAGGCCACAGGGTGGCAGTAGATACCTTTGGTCAAAGTCCATAACCTAGTAAGCTATTTCTAGAAAACAGAGATAGAAAAGAGCCTCCGGCATCAGCAAAGATTAAAAACTGAAGCTAATATGAAAGACATCTTGCTCCTGTCTGGAGGGATGGCTGCCAGCCAAAACACATTTGAAACTCTAATTATATACTTAAAGACTTATCCAAAATGCCAGGCAGAAGTTATAGACTGCCTGTGGAGGAGCATATTTCTTCCAGTGGCAAATTTCCATCTGTTCCTTTGGACATACTTCATTACAACTATTTGATCATCTTGAAACATATTTCCATCTACTCCTCCCTAATACACATCTCTCTGTCTCTCTCGCACAAAATAGAGTATATTTTTAGGTAAATTTTTTCCTCGTAAAGGGTAAGAACTCATAATCTCTCAATTCAATTATATTTATACTTCAATATAGTTACTTGCCTTTATTTTTTTTTGCAGTTCCCAATTTTCAACAGTTTATGAATATCTCACAAGAACAACAAAACTCAGTGGGTTAATCCTCACCTCAGATGACAAAAATCTTAAAACATCACAAAAAGATCTATTTCTGATCTTAACACTCTTATATCAATTCATAATAGACTGGGCAAGTTTAGTGTCAGTCTTTTCCATACAAGCAATTTGAAAAGATAACACCCAGTGTTTGACCTTGAATAGATTTTCAGCAAACAAATAAGCCTTAGAAATGCCTGAAGAAAGAAAATCTGACAAGCTCAAGTGGTTTAAAACTATTTTTATGTTCATTATCATGACTCTAAGCTAAAAATCTGTTGGAGATGATTTAATAAAATGTGCTGATGCCTTGAGTATTTTACAATACAGATAGATTCAATGAGATCTGTTCTTTTCATTCAGAAACATTTTTTTGTGCAGACACAAGAATTTTTCCCACGACAGTAAGTGTATGTGTCTAGCATTCCGATTAAACAAAGCACAACAGCATCTTCCAGGTCTCTAACCTTTTTAAAATGAGCATTTAAACTGAAAAGCACATTGCATCCTGTCAACCAGTGTGCTTCAAAGACCATACCTCAATAATACATTGTTTATATAAGCTGATTATATTTGCAAAAGTATTTTATATATGAACACCCAAAAGATGATTGTGCATATTTGCCTCTTAATATGTGTTTACTTCCAGAAGCAACAGTTATGGTCCTGCTAAGCAACTTTTCTCAGAATTTGAAGGAAAGATTAAACTTAAATCTAAAAATTAAACCTATCAATAAAATTGAGAACTTGCTCCAATTGAGCGAGGCGAACTCCAGCAATGGGAGAATGGGTTAGTGTGGGCAGCAGGGTCAACTCGACCGCACACCCAAGCAGGTGGCAATATACTCTGTGTGAGTTCAAGAAAAAAGCTGTGGACTGTGGCTCAGTCATGTCTGCTGACTCTTTGCGACCCCATAGACTGGAGCCCGCCAGACTCCTCTGTCCATGGGATTTCCCAGGCAAGAATACTGGAGTGGATTGACACTTCCTTCTCCAGCGAATTTTCCCAAGCCAGGGATCAAACCAGCGTCTCCTGCAAGTCTCTTGCATTGGAGGCATACCCTTTACCACAGAGCCACTGCGGAAGCCCCATGAGTTCTAGAAGCAGGTGGCAAATGACATGCAGACAGATAAAAGGTGACTCCTCAGCCATCAACCATCTGCATCAAAAATAACACCTCAGCACCAACAATGGGCCTTCTTTCTTTGATCCCCAACTCACAACCAAACGATTTGCAGACAAGACTCGGAAACTCTTTTATTAAATTGAACACAAAATGACTGTTATAATAACGTCAAGCCTTTATCAGAAATCAGTACATAAATGAGGATACACAGCCAAAATGAGCCATCAACAGAAGCAGTGTAAATTTTAAATAACTTTCAAGATTCTCTATTCAATATGCTTAAGAAAATAAAACCAAAAGAGCAATTTCGATTTCACAGTTCACAGTTGATTGGCTTCAATCCCAAGACATTTTTGCCATTTATGTGGCCTCAGAACACAGATTTCCAAAGTGGTGACTGGCACAAAGCCCCAGCAGCATACACAGATGTTAAATCCCTGTATGACATTTAGGGGAAATTGTAGGAAACAAACCCAATTTCATACAGTTCTGGCAGGCATTTTTTAGCTATATCCTTTACCAGAAACATCGTTCTAGGGAAACAGTAAAAGCAATTTTAAAAGTTTGCCATGCCATTAAATGAAGGGTTGTAAAGTTTCCCTTGGCTCCACAATTTTATTCTCTAATTTAAAACAATGAGCTAAAATGCAACATTAACAGTGAAAGTAAAACCAGTTTTGCTTCTGGATCTAGAGCATACATCCAAGAGAGGCAACTTATTGTCTTAGCAGACACACGGAATGCTTTAGAGCAGAGTCTGCCACACTCTAGTAAGGCATTTCAAAGCAGACACCCCATATCCAAACTAAATTATTATGGTCAGCTGAGGATACCACAAGGTGGACACCAATTAACACAGAATCAACATGAAATTCTTAAAAAATGACACACATTTACAAAACCACAGGAAGATGCTCAAGTACCAAAAGAAGGTAAAACAATGACCAGCCACTCTAAAAGTTTTGTTCCTGTAAATGCCAGATTTTCAGAATAGAAACAAACCACTTCATATGTGCTTTGCACTAGGATAATATTGTTCATCCGGACACATGGGGTTACTTTTCCTTAAAAAAATATATCATGTAGAGAATATACATATAATCAGTGATATAGAACATTTATTTTCACTAGTGAGGGGGTCACTTAAGCACTTACACAGAAAGAGTTATGAGTGAATCATGAAGGTTATGTAAATGTGAAAGGAAATCTGATAAAACCTGTATTTTTAGTATTCAACAGCAAAGTGTGATTTTTAGCAGTTTTTGACTTAATGAGAAACTATGACCATGGAAAAATCTTTTAAGTTCAAAGAATTGTAAAATGTCCAAAAAACAAAGGTCTAATTAGTAAAAATAGATAGTTTCATTTCAAGCGCCCTAAAGGGAGAGTTTATTTTGAAAGCCATGAATTTTATCAAAGAGCACAAGAATATGAATCCAGGATATCAAAACTTCAGTTCTGACTTACCCACTGAATCTTCATAATCTGCAAGAAGTCACTTAAATTCTTCTGATTTTGTCCACAAAATAATTGGCATAAAAATAAAGGCATATGTCAATACTTTTTTCCTAAACAGTACTAGAGTAAAGCTAAATATGGTTACTAAGGCTTACAATTTCAACAACTCATTGTACAGTACAATCATTTTTAATCCTGCTAATTATGGCTAAGAGAAAGCAAGGGCAGTTACAATTCTCAGGGAATTCAAAGGCTTTAGATAAACTAATGGTTTCAACTTTCTAAACTACTCCATCTGTTCTTCTAGAGTTGTTTTAAACAGCTAATCATCTGTGGGGTTGACCCTTTATGCCTCTCTATTCTCTGGTAGAACAGGTGAAAATAGTAAAGGGAGAAATGATACCACGGAGAAAAAAGCAGCAGTAGATTGAAATGAGGTATAAGCTGATTTAATAAACCCCAATCAGTAATTTACAGTTTTCTAAAGAAGCTGCATAGTTGAGCAAACATACATCATAAAAACAGGGATAAAGAAAAAATTCTTATCATGAAGCTTTAAAATGTATGACAATTAAGCAATAAAATGACCAACACCAAAAAACTTCAGTTTGAAAAGGAGTTGTCTTCCCTCACTCTAAGCATATACAAAAACAGAAACAAGGCTGAAGTCCACAGGAGAAAAAGACATATGTTAACTGGCTCAGGTTATCAACTTCATACACTGCTTGTTAAAAGATGTAAATATGTAAACAGATATTAAACTATAGTTAATTATGCCTATGCTGAATTGTTTAGGGAAGTATCTGAAATTTACACTAAAATGTATATTTTTTTAAAACTCCATTGTTCAACGGATAAACAGAGGGACAGACAAATATATGGTAATATAAGTACTGGAAAATGTTAACAGTAGAATCTAGTGCTAATATACTGTAAAATTTGTTAACTTTAAGGTACTTTTAAAATTTCTCATAATAAACTGTCAAGAAAAATGTTAGTATTTCTGCAGCAAAATTAATTAGCAGTGCGTTTTAGAGACTCAAAGAGTACAGGCAATTTAGAATTTTAAATTCATTGAAGTAAGAAAAATTTTACTTTAAAACATCTTGAACCTGATTTGTCAAGGTACCTATTTTAAATGTAGAGATGAATTATAACAGCACAATGAATAAGTATTATGCATGACAGTCTTCACACACTTCATGTGCAAATACATAATCTGTCCTCTCTACAGTACTAGATAAGACAGTATTTGAAAATGATACTGGAATAAAGTTTTTCCAAACATCAATTTCAAGCTCTTCCCAATCCATCACACTATCAATCACTAAATATAAATGCAATGCAGATCAAAGTGGAAAAAAAAAAAATCAATGACCGTTGCCAGCCTTGGACAACTGGATTCATTTTCAGGATATATGGTTCCTGATCAGTTATCATACAGTTTTACTCAATATCAAATTGAGATTGCACAAATAAAAAAAAAAAAGATGCAGAACACAGAATTCACACAAAGCTTTGTTACTCCAATTTCCTATTTTATGCATTGTGACTAATGGCAATAATTCTATCATCTCTTCTTTCTGTGAAATGCTAAAACTTGCTAAAGGCACTCATAATCTGGGCTTAACAAAGACAGGGTCACATGGGACCATAAGCCAGTATTTTTTTGGTAGCTACCCAGAAAGGGAGTTGATAAATGATCCTCCCATTCGTAGCGGGAAGACAAAGTCAAACAGCTATCAGTAGAAGTGTCGTATGAGAAGCTATTTACACAGCTATTTGTCCATTCAGTAAGAATGATAGTAATAGCTCACAATGACAGGGGTCCACCACCAAAAACATTAAAGCAACAAGACATTCTATATGATGCATGAAACTTCTAAATGGTGATTTGGCTGGTTGAAAAAAGAAAAGCCAGCAAGATGGAATCTTTTTAGAGTATCTGTTCAAAAGCCTGCATTAAACTTTTACCTATACTGACAAACCATTTCTCTACTTCTAAAGCAACTCTGCTGTCTTTCGTATATGCCACACCAACTGTTTTGGAAGGTCCTTCCAGCCTGTGTTCTGACAGTGAGGAAACAAAACAGATTAGGTTTCAAATCCATCACTCCTAGGCCTCTCTGTAGAGACATTATGCAGAACAGTTACATGTCTGCCCTGACTCAAGGGGGACTCGTTTTAATGGGTCACTGAACAGTCCTCCAACTGTTGTTGTTCATAGTCCCCACTGATTCAGGAGTGAGGGAATCATTAATACCACCATTAATCCTTCAAGTCTATCTACAGAGGAAGACTTAATCAGATGTATAATATATATGTATATACACATACATGTGTATATATATATATCTTTAATCCTAGTTCAAAGTATAGATACAAGCAAGTACATCAGTATTGTAGAACAGCTCTATAAAATAAGGTGGATGATCTCATGCTTTCCTTTCAGCTGTTAAAGTTAGAGGAACATGGAGATGATCTCAGACAGCCATGATTTTTCATTCAATCTCAGGGTTTCAAAAAATTCTAAATGGTTTTCTAAGTTTATCAACTCAAGAAAAGGGGCAACAGTGAGGAAGAATTGGAGGAAGTTTTTGCAAATGGTATAGGGCAATTATTCACCTTGCAGATTTCAGTGCAATAAGAGACAAATAGACACACGTCATAAACAACATGCACATATTTACAAGTTGTGATACATGACATACAAAGACAAAACCAACAAAACGTTTTCTCTTCAATGTGGAGTTGAAAGGATCACATGGCACAATCAGCTCTGTAGCTGAATATTCTTGAAAAAACACTTCGAAGACATAAGCAATCTAATCTTTTAATTGGAACACCAAAATTTTTCCTTTACATCTTCTTGCCCTCAATATTTTGGAAGAGTTTCTAATTCTTATCTTCAACATTGATTTCTGAATGGCAACTTACATGGAGATATTCACAGAGAAGAGGCTTGGATGCTCTTGAGTTCTTGCAGATCTAGAACTAGGATCTACATATTTGACTAGAGGTTTCCCACTGGTTAGGCCTCTGTCCATCCTTGTATACAGTACATAAAAAGATATTAATGTGATTCCTGGGGAGCACAGGGTGCAAATTCTAAAGGATATTACAGAGCAGGACCTGATTTTACTAAATGAAACTGACAGAGATCACATATCACTGAGTGCAGTACTAACAACAGCTTTCTTTGACAGGAAAAAAAACCCAACACTGTCCGTAAGGAATGCATGAGCATGAGAAACTGTACCATGCAGAGGTGTATTTACCTAGGCATTTCCTCTGTCACCATTTGTTTAGCCTATGGAACACAGGAGAATATTGCAAGGTAACAAGCCCAAAACAACCCACTGTCATAGAGATATGCGATTCTTTTTTTGGACGTGTATGTAACCTTTATAATCATGGAAGTTATTTATCAACTGCCTAGAGTTTGGAAAGTAAGGAGCAAACCCAGCTATTGTAGGCAATATGGTTTCTAAGGTGTCATATAAAGCAAACATCAGTCTTTTTTAGTGCAAAGAAATAGAACAAGTAAGAAACAACACTATAAATCTAACTTTTTTCTTTAAAAGAAAATGCATTTATGCATTCATAACATCCATTAAGGGCACTGAGAGACTAGAAACCTGAATATGCAAGGCCAGGAAAAACACCAAGGCCTTAAGTCCACTGCTATTACATATATAAAATGAAATTTTTAAGTGGGAAGAGTAGAGAAGATCCTTTCATTAGTTTTATCTGCAAAGAAAAAACTGAAAGTGGATGAATGCCACTTGTATAAAATGTAAATTCTTATCCACAATCTTTTACTGTTATCTAAGGATTCAATGAAATCTTCTCTATGGTATCACATAAAACTATACATACATAGGTTTATATATGTGTGTGTATGTATATAACTACATATATATACACACATACATATACATGTGTATACATACATGTAGTCACACACAGAGAGGGAAATGAATTTTTAAATAATCGTAGAACCATGTGGCCAGCACTTTCATATTAAAATCTACCAAAAAATTACACTTAGCAGCAAAATGAGTAACCTACTAACCAATAAGAGAAGCTCTAAACTGCCCTAAAATAATCAATTATACTTTATAGCTTACTGCAAAAAAGTGTTACTATACTGATTCACAGGTCCAGACAGCACTTCAACAGAAGATTATTTCATTCTTCTGTTTCTGGGAGAAAATAAAATTACTAAATAATTCTCCTTTTCAAAAAACCATGACTTCAACAGAAGGGTAACTTGATAGTGTACCAGAGAGTGTACCAGTATCACAAAACTTAATTTTAAATATGGGTCTAGATAATTCAAAAATTGTTCAGAAGTACTAAAGGAATAGAATGATGATTATTTTCCTTCTCCTTATCTCTTTGCCTACCGAATTTTTAAGGAAAAATAGGAGTTTTATTTTTAATTAGTAATATAAGCAATCAAAAAGTGAATTTATCATAGTGCAAAGATATTGCTCAATATAAACTTCTATGAACATGGCCTTTCAAAAGCAGTATGGATGAGCACCCATCTTATCCATGTAAATATAGTAAATAAGTAAAATACAGTGAGTGAAAGTTCATAGAATCCTCCATTGGTTAATCTAGACAAAACACTAGAGCTTCTCATTTTAAAAACAAAAAGCAAAAATAATAATACTGTTCTAATTATCAGATATGAAAGTAATCTATATTTTTATTAATCTATATCTTCAAGGAAGCTGAATTGTAAAGAATAATGCCAAAGTTCAGGTATTTTTCTATTGGAAATGATACTAAAATTGATTAACTGTTTTAAAAAAAATTTTCTTTCTTGGAAATAGTAAAGTAGTGATATTCTTCAGGACAGTCTACAAATTAGCAAGACAAAAAAGAACGTAAGTAAAATGTAAAGATCCATTTATGTAAAAAGTCTATCAAAACAAATATCAAGGGTTCTGAACTTACGGTTGAGACCATCACATAAGTGCATGTTATTATCATGAAGTAACTCTAAGTTGAAAAATCAAACACATTTCATTTCCCAACACCAGCTGAGAAAAATATATTTTTAAACAATCATATCCTAAACTCATTGGATATTCAAATATGGGGCTTGGAAAACCTACAACGCCATTCTGGGGCGTGAAAATGAGCTAATTGGATAAGCTAAATCAACTGAAGGAGAAAAAAAAAGGGAGAAAAGGTGAATTTAAAAGTGTGAAATTCACAACTGAAAATCAAGTTTCACTATCTGGAAGTACACAAACACATTAGAAGTGTCTGAATCCAAGAAAACCTGCATTTCAATAAGGAAGGGACATGATAAACAGAAAACACTACTCTGGGCAAGATTCTAATGCAGTTTACATAGGATATCCTACTGACAGTTCATTGAGTTGAGATGGTAAATCCAAAGAAACCTTGGGAAACTAAAATCTTTGCTTACCTGCTTTTACTGTGATCTGAAGCAAAAACTCGATAAAATTATTTAACAATACATAACACTAACACTGTAAAAGAATATGAAGTTTTTAAATAGTTAAAGCTCTAAGTGGTCAGGCTACTAGTTGACCAGAACTTGGTCAAGATAAAAAGGTCTGTCTCATGGGGTAGGTCGGTCACAGGCTTTAAGCACTTCAACACAACTGACCTGAAAAAGCATCATGACTTAAGCACGTTCTTTTCCTTCCCCAATTCTGACACCTTATGGTACCACTGCAGGTTATGTGTATTAACATCAAGCAGAGGAATGTACTCATATCGAAAGAACCACAAAGCAGGGCATGTTGACAGAAGGCGAGCAACAGGCAGGACAAGCTGCTCTATCTGAATATGACAATCACTATACGTAGCCCAGATTCTCCATCTCATTCCTGTACCGCTGTTCAGACACCTTGCTTTTATGTTGCTTGCTCTCTAAATGCTGCCGGAATTCCACCTCTTCGCCAGCCCCGACATTGCACATGGAGCAGTAAAACTGGCCACTTGGAGTAACGCACATGGCCAGATCACGTGGAATTCTCTGCCGAGAGCGGGGATTGAAGTAAGGACCTGCTGAAGCAAAGAGACAAAAGTAATATATTCACTTCAAAATACTCACTAAGCGAATGATGGTCTGACCAATTATCACTGTAATTTGTAATTCTAAGCTCAAACCCTAGTTTGAAAAAAATGGGAAGTTAATGGGTTTTTTAAAATTACAATTTTATACAGGTTCAGTCTGAAAAGCTAAAATGATTCCTCCAACTATTGTCAGAAATGTTACTGCAGAGCCAAATCCACACTCTAAATAGCAATGTCTCTAAAAAGTGAATGTAATTTTAGAAATACTTTCATTTCTAAGCATTATATCAAAAGTTATGTCATTATGCTACTACTTTAATCCAAAAATTCTACTTCTAAGAATTTCACTAAGAAAATGTTGAGAATTTTGGTATAGAGATTTATGAGGACATTTATTTAACTAGAGTTTACAAAAGATTTTTTGGGAGGGTAAGGATAAAGGAAAGATCCAAACACACAACTCAAAAAAATCTTAGTAATGAATGTAATGAAAAACTAAATAGTCACTAAAAACAATGCTATAGAAAACTCTATAATTACAATATTTGATTATAATATGCTATTACATTAAATAAGAATATCACAAAATATGATCACATTTCCATTTTACAGAATACACACAAAAATGTTGGTAGAATTATTGATAATTTTATTTTTTATATAACTGACTTAAGTTGGACCATTAGCTCAATGCTTTACTGCTTTCCTACTATAATAATAAACATTTAAGGCTTTTCTCAAAATGTTACTTTGACTACATGCTACAAATTTTGATACATTTTTATTACAATTTGATTCTAAGAATGTTCAATCACCAGTATGATTTTTTCTTTGGCGAGAGAGTTATTTAGAAATGTTTAAATACTTCCAAACACATAAAAATTTTGTGTTTTTCTATGATTGACATCTCATTTACTTGTACTCTGATCCAAGAACATAGGTCTAAATGGCCTTCTGTCATAAAGGGTTTTGTTTTTTTTAAAAATCTAATGCTAAGACAGCTATTTTAGCTTCCTTCATTTCAACTGAATATTTTCTATCTAATCTTACAATTTTCTTTTTCACTGGGACTTTAAGTTTACATTTACTGCAACAATGATATATGTTTCAGACTTTCGTGAGACTTATTACATTGTGTTCTATATGTCCCTTTTTTCTATGCTTCTCTTGCCTTTCTAATCAGTTTGTTGCTGTTTGTTTTACTGTTCACAAGAGTGACCTCTGCTCATATATGTGTGCACTGGAGGCTGGGGTAGGGAAGGATGAAGGACTACTCTCCCTGCTGAAGATGATCAGAAAATGCAGAAAATATTCCTATCAACTAGTAATTCGGAACTAAAAGTATGTATCAATCACCAAGGAAGCATTTGCAAAACACACACATGTCTGAGTCCCACTCTAAATTTACTGACTGAAAATCTCTAAGTCATGGTTCAACTATGTGTATTTTATAAAAACTCCCCAGATAATCTGAGTCACTCCCCTGGTTAAACACCAGTGCTATCATTTTTATTTTCCCTAATAACTGGGGATTTAATGTGGTGCAGCTTGAAACCAAATATTTCATTTTTATACTACATTTAAATGTATCAGCTGGCAAACACCAGAAGTAACATAAAGGCACTAAGATAAGACACGTTAAAACACAGACTCGGTTATGTGAAATTCTTGTAAAGCAAGTATACTTCAACTTTTTAAAAAGTTGCATTTTGGGTCTTAGAACCCAAGGATGTATCACCTTTCCATTTAACTCATTTCTTATTCTTGGTTCTTTGAAATAAAGTCATTTTCTTGATGTAAAAAAAATTAAATAAAATCAAAATAAATAATACACTAAATAGGAAATAAATAAATAAGACCTGAAATAAACACCAGCTTGAAAAGCCACTAGACCAATTCCACAAAACAGAAGTTAATCCCAAATTCTCAGGGCTATCTATTACCATTAAAGGAAATAAAAATAGAGGACACCATTTGCAAAACATAGCCAAGGTATGTGAAAAGTCACAGAATACCTGAATTATTCTGTACTGCATACATATTTCTCCTATTAGACATCATCTTATATTCATTCCCTTCTTTCCGGGTCCGCCGTTGACCGACCTCTGAGGAGTCTCTGGAGAAGAGACATTTTAAAAGAATGAGACTTCCAAACAAGGCTCCCCTTCAACTCTTTTCCTCTAGACAGTGAGTCTCACATAACACTCTGGCCTAAGAGAAAACGGCAATACCTACGAGAATGAGTTACTCTGAGCTTCCGCCAGCCGCAGTCTCTTGGCATGATTCTTCCCTTGATAGTGAGCCTGGGCCACAGCCGGAGAGCTGAAGGAGGCATCGCAGAGCTTACAGTAATCATTTTCTGTGGCTAGGATCACTCTGCCTCCTGGCTTAAAGGACCCCATCTGACAGCAAAGACACAACAAACAAGGTTTTAAAGTGTGGACTCTGTTCTCTTCTCCCCTAAGTCCCTTCCTTCCAAGAGCTGAAAAATAACCCGTTATGGCATGACCATGAGCACGCAGCTTTATAAGGACAGGAAAGTATTCGTTTCAGAAAGGAGGAGGAAAAAAAGGCTGAGAGACACTTAATCGTGGTTTTGCATTACGATCATCCGTATACCAAGCTGGATGAATGCCTCATTGCTATTTTCATTGAAGAAATTTCAGAAAAGAAGTTAAAAAACCCAGCAAGGAAGATTCAGGGCAGCACAGGTTAAGGTCTAAACTCACATTACCAGAGAGAAAAAGTCTTCCCAGAATCCATTAACAAGCATGTACTAAATGCCTACTATTTATAGGGCTTGTAACCTAATGCAAAAGTGACATACAGACATGTATTAAAAACTAAACCTCTATCCTCACAGTCTATAAATTAGCTACAGATATACTGTGTATGTGTGTGTTAGTTGCTCAGTCATGTCCAATTCTTTGGGACTCCATGGACTGTAGTTTGTCAGGCTCCTCTGTTGATGGAATTCTCCAGGCAAGAATACTGGAGTGGGTACCATTCCCTTCTCCAGGGGAGCTTCTTGACCCAGGGATCAAACCCTGGTCTCCTGCATTGCAGGCAGATTCTTTACCATCTGAGTCATCAGGGAAACCCACAGATACAGTATAATTAGGAGGAAATAACCGGCAAGTCCAGACAGCTGTATTCAGGCTGGGAAACAATAAGCTACGGGAAACCTAACACAGTCCCTGGAAAGTAGTATACCTCAGTTACATACCTGAGATATACCTCAGTATACCTCAGCTGGGTTAACAAAACATGCCAAACTAGATTTGGCTAAAGAAGAATTAAATATACAATAAAGAATCTGGAAAGTGTATCATATCAGACCAGCTGAACCATTGTTTCACCTGGAAGAGAAGATTTTCTGGGGACAGGATAACTGTTTTCAAAAATCATAAAGACTTGTGCTATGAAAGAAGCCCACGGCTGTTTGCCCAGGAGGGTGGAACCAGCTGAAAACAGTCTCTACCAGGAAGGAGCCATCCAATTCTAGAGCAGCCTTCAAGAACTAGCACTGGGAAAACTCCTCAGCCTGAAGATCTCTCTGGGTATCCTGCTGTCCTCTGATTCTGTTTTTAACAGATCTCATTTACCCCACAAATTCGGGAGGATAGGAGAATACCGGATATTGCTATCCACATCGTAAGGACTGACAACCAGAAAAGTTATACCATGGTGTTTAGGAGTAGAGGTCTAAGGTCAAGAAAAATCAATGCCCCACTTTACAAAATCTGTAACACCATGGACAAGTTATTTGGCTTACCTGGGCTTATTATGGTCAACTTCCAACTGAGACCGATGCTGCTGGCCCATGGATCACACTTTGAGAAATAAGTCAATACCTCTGAGTTGTTGCAAGCATTAAATTAAGTTAGGACCCAGGCCAAGAAGGAGGCAAGGAAGGAGCCCTGGGCACCCAATATAAGGGAGCATCAGAAAACTTAGCTATTGGGATGAAAAAATACTTAGTGTAATATTTTCACAAATGAAACCCACAGCCAAAAAAAATCAATGAGGAACAAAATATGAAAATTTTAAATAAAGACAGGATCAGCAACAGTGTCATGCCAAACCATACTGCAGCCTAAGGCAAAAGGGAAATCAGTAACAGTTATCCTATCTTTAAGTTTTTGCCATTTTGTTCACCAGTGACTTTTTCACATTAATTTTGCATTTTAAAAATATCACATTATTTATCTTGATTACTGAGCATTTTAGCTCCCTCTTAAATTCTGTGCCTAAGTCAAGTACATCCCTCATCTCACCCTCATCCCAGGGCTGAATGAACTAATGTCTGAAAAGTGCTTAGCAGAGTACCTCGCATAGTAAGAGATCAAAGTGATTATTAGTTATTATTATTTATGACCTAAGGGGCTTCCCTGATAGCTCAGTGGTAAAGAATCTGCCTGCCAATGCAGGAGATATGGGCTCAATCCCTGGGTTGGGAAGATCCCCTGGAGAAGGAAATGGCAACCCACTCCAGTACGCTTGCCTGGAAAATGACATGGACAGAGGGGCCTGGCGGGCTATAATCCATGAGGTCTCAGAGTCAGACACAGCTTAGAGACTGATCACTGAGCACACACATTTATGACCTATAAAAAAAATAATACTTCAAAGACAGATTAGAATCCATATTTCAGAAAGTACTAAAGTACAGGAATATCCTGCCTCAAACACCGATCTCCCAAAGAGTAAATGGAACTTGGCTCTCAAGTGTGGGTCATGATACCAAAGTCCAGGAAGAGTGTGTACAGGCTCTCTGTACAGAAGAAAGAAAGGGGCAGCTTCAAGAAACTGATCTCGCTGGAAGGCAATATGTAAAGTCAACGGGGGAACTTTTCTGGTGGTCCAGTGGTTAAGACTCTGCCTTCCAATATAGGAAGCACAGGCTTGATCCCTGGTTGGGAAGCTAAGATCCCACATGCCTCATAGCCAAAAAAAATTCATAAAACAGAAGCAATATTGCAACAAGTTCAATAAAGACTTTAAAAAATGGCCCGCATCAAAAAAAAAAATCTTAAAAAAAAATAAAGTTAGTAGGATTGATCACAATCGAGATAAATGTTTAAAAATCTTTCTTTTCATTCAGGGCTTCATGCAGACATTCAGGGCCATTTAACCCAGAATTTTCAAATATGCATACAGAAAGCCTCATGAAATCATTTTGTTTCATCTCATGAACCATAACAAAATCTAATGAGAAGTCTTGGGATTCATGAATTTTTGCATTAAATCCAGTTATCAATGAGCTGAAAGCACCAAGAAGGGCGTTTTAGGAGTACTGGCTCAGCTGTACCTTGATGGACACACAGATGACAAACTTCATCCATGCCCACCTATGCACGGGGCAGCTCCCACCCTGACCCTCGAGTCTCACCTGCGGAGGGGCTGAAACAGCTGGAGCAGCCACAGGTTCCACTGCATTGCTCATTCTGGCAGGAGGAGGACAGCTATTTGCTGCATAGTAATTTCGGAGTTTCTTACCATGATTTTTACCCTAGAAGTAAAATGGAATGAGTCATTATTGTGAGGAAGATGTATCAAACTGAGTTAACCTATTTACCAAAAAAGAAAAAAACACATGTTATTCTTTCAGAGATATGCAAAAGTGGAGTAAACAGTAGGTAGATTTGATTATTACATCTTAAAGTAGAAGACTCGACTCTTTGATTCTAACAGAATGATTAAATTTATCTGGGAGAAATAAGCAAACAAAGTCAAAAGACATTAATTTCCTATATATTTCTGGAAAACAACCATTTTCTAGTGATCTGTGTCCTCTACCAACTTGTTGCCATTCAATTGCTGCTGCCTAAATATGAATTTTATGACACTCTGATCTAATCTACAAGTCAGTAATGAAATGGATAATCCAATTACTTTTGCAAAAATAGCACTTCCAGAGTATCTTTTTACTTACAAAGAACTCTCCTGTGCATTAGCTCATTTGCCACTCACAAAAATCCTGAAAGAGGAATTTGTTAATGTTATCCATATATGACAGCTGAGACCCTGCAATCCAGACAGCACAGAGAACTTGCCTCCAACACCTTCAGGAGGCCTAGCAGCGGGGTCGCAGCTTAAAGCAAGCCTTCTGAATCCAAAGCAAGGCCCTTCTTCATACAGCGTGATGGCTTCAGGATACACTGTGAGCCTCTATTAAAATGGATTTGCCTCTCTCATCACGTTTCCTTTATCATTCTCAAGTTTATGGCTGAGCTGATAAAAACTGGTGGGAAGGGGCAGTCCAAAAGCATCCTAAATGAGGGTTAAACTGTGTATTATTCTTTAAACTGCACTGAAAAACCAAACATGTAGGCAAATATTTATATACCATCTACTATATGCTAAACCCTAAAAATAAAAAGGACTAGCTAGCATATGGTCTAGAGGAGGAGACAAATATGTAAAGCAGTTAGAGGAATGAGTGAAATTCCACCTAATGGCCCCTGAAATGCCATAAAGGTGCTCTTACCATTATCACAGTGACCTCCAGGGAGTCAAACCCAGAGGTCACATCGGTGCCTTTATTACACTCTAAGAAACACGATACTATTGATACTCCTTCCTTCTATCATCATCTATGACTCCCTCTTACCTCGCGGCCTCTCACTCTCTAAAAGCTGCAGTGTCCAATGCACTACCCTCAGCCCTCTTTTCTCTCCATCCATACACAAACCCTGGTTATTTTACTCAGTCTCAGCTTTAAAATACAATCAATAAGTTGGTGATTCCTGAAATTACCTATCACTATTCCTGTTATGGACTGATGGCTTATGTCCCTCCAAAATTCCTATTTTGAAATCAAATCCCCAATGGGATGGTAGTTGGAGGTGAGACCTTTGGAAGGTAATGAGATCACAAGGGTTGAGTCTAATTAGTGCCTTTTAAAGAAGATATCAGAGAGCTCCCTTGCCCACTTTCCACCATGTAAGGATTTAGGAGAAATCGGCTGTCTGCAATCTGAAAGAGGGCCTCAGAACCCACCCATGCTAGATCCCTGATCTCAGACTTCCAGCCTCTGCAACTGTGAGAAATAGATGTTTGTTGTTTGAGTCACCCAGCCTACGACAGACTAAGACAATCCCTGACCTTCAGAGCCATACAGTCAACTGCCTCCTTGCTGTCCACACACTGCAGTCTTAAGAGGCAGGGGGGTGTGTGTGTGTGTGCGCTGACCTGTGTCCAACTCCGTGACCCCACAGACTGTAGCCCGCCAGACTCTTCTGTCCATGGGATTTTCCAGGCAATAATACTGGAATGGGTTGCCGTTTCCTCTTCCAGAGGATCTTCCTGACCCAGGGATCGAATACACATCTCTTGTATCTCCTGCACTGGCAGGCAGATTCTTTACCACTGTGCCACATGGGAAAGCCCCTTAAGAGGCATATCCAACTTAAAACATCTAAAACATAAATTTTAATTCCCTCCATACCACAGAATGATCTCATCACTGCCATTACCACCATTCATCCACATGTCAGTAAATGACATTACTCTCCACCGAGTTACTCAAGAAAAGCCAAGGAGTCCATTCCTTGATTCCATCCCTCCTTAAAGCCAACACATTCAACTGATAAGTCGCTGTCTCACTTAAAATTTTCCAATGGCCTCCTACTACACTTAATCAGTGAATCTTTCCTGTAAGCCCTTTTTGATCTGGCCCTGTCTACTTCTCAGATTTCATTCACCCAGCCCCCTGCCCCCCTCCTCATTATGTTCCTGCCTGACAACCAAACACATACACTTAAAACATGCCACACACATTAACTCTAAGGCCACTGCACTTGCTATTCTTTCTGATCTGCAATCTGAAAGAGGGCCTCAGAACCCACCCATGCTAGATCCCTGATCTCAGACTTCCAGCCTCTGCAACTGTGAGAAATAGATGTTTGTTGTTTGAGTCACCCAGCCTACGACAGACTAAGACAATCCCTGACCTTCAGAGCCATACAGTCAACTGCCTCCTTGCTGTCCACACACTGCAGTCTTAAGAGGCAGGGGGGTGTGTGTGTGTGTGCGCTGACCTGTGTCCAACTCCGTGACCCCACAGACTGTAGCCCGCCAGACTCTTCTGTCCATGGGATTTTCCAGGCAATAATACTGGAATGGGTTGCCGTTTCCTCTTCCAGAGGATCTTCCTGACCCAGGGATCGAATACACATCTCTTGTATCTCCTGCACTGGCAGGCAGATTCTTTACCACTGTGCCACATGGGAAAGCCCCTTAAGAGGCATATCCAACTTAAAACATCTAAAACATAAATTTTAATTCCCTCCATACCACAGAATGATCTCATCACTGCCATTACCACCATTCATCCACATGTCAGTAAATGACATTACTCTCCACCGAGTTACTCAAGAAAAGCCAAGGAGTCCATTCCTTGATTCCATCCCTCCTTAAAGCCAACACATTCAACTGATAAGTCGCTGTCTCACTTAAAATTTTCCAATGGCCTCCTACTACACTTAATCAGTGAATCTTTCCTGTAAGCCCTTTTTGATCTGGCCCTGTCTACTTCTCAGATTTCATTTCACCCAGCCCCCTGCCCCCCTCCTCATTATGTTCCTGCCTGACAACCAAACACATACACTTAAAACATGCCACACACATTAACTCTAAGGCCACTGCACTTGCTATTCTTTCTGTTTAAAATGTTCTTCTTTCCAATCTCTGCATGGCTGGCTCCTTCTTACCTTTCAAAAGTCTCAATTCAAACAATATCAAACAACATCTCACTCAATCTGAGGTGTCACCCCCCATTGACCAACACTTCCCCCACCCAACACACACACACTGGATCACCTTACCACACTTTCCTGTTCTATTTCATCACAGTACCACTTATAACTAACTGAAATAATGTTTTTTTGCTTATTTTTTTCTCTTTCCTACCCTCTGGAATGTAGACTCCTTGAAAATAAGGACCTTGTCCATCTTATATACTGTTCTAGTCCCAACTTCTAGAACAATTTCTAACACATGGCAGACAATCACTATATATTTGTTGGCTAAGTGAATCACTATTAGAGTGGAAATAAGGAACAAACTGCTAAGAGAGCAAAGAGAAGGGAAGGCTTACTTCTGCCTCAGAGTACCAGGGAAAGCTTCCCTGAAAGGGGGACATATGAGTTATCTTTTAAAATGAGCAAGTTTACTAGGCAGGTAAGGAATGAGGGGAAAGATAACTGTTAACACAGGAACAGTGTAAGGAAACAGCAGTCTGCTTGAGATGGTCTCCAGGATCCTTTGGAAAAGAGGTAGGAGCTGATACACACAGGGAGCTAATTGTGTATAGTTTTGTTGATGATATAGACCTTGGACTTTAGAGGCAGCAGGGGGCTCTGAAGGGCTTTAAGCACAGCAGTTACATGACTGAATTGCATTTGATAAAGATTATTATAAATGGGAAGATAGAAAAGAGAGCCTAGGGAATGAGGATCCAGAAAAGAGATTGAGAATGTCTGGTTAATGAAGTAAAATGGAAACTAGACAACTGTAGCATTATGGAAGTCTAGAACAAGGTGTTTCAAAAAAAGAGTCTAATTAGATATATTATAACCCAGGATATTTACTTTCAGGTATTCCAGACAAAAGCAAACATATGCAGAGCTACTTATAAGAACAAAAGAATGTGAAAGACTAGAGATCTCTTCAAGAAAACATACACATAAAGATCTACCTATAACAACAATAGAATGGGAAAGAGTAGAGATCTCTTCAAGAAAATTAAAGATACCAAGGGAACATTTCATGCAAAGATGGGCACAATAAAGGACAGAAATGGTATGGACCTAACAGAAGCAGAAGATATTAAGAAGAGGTGGCAAGA